ACCTCCACGCCTGCCCCCTACCCACGCCGTCCCACCTCACCCGCCTCCAGGCCTGGGCCTGCCACCAGCTAGCTACCCACCTCCATCTGTCCCCCCTGGAGGACAGCCACCTGTGCCCCCACCCATCCCCCCACCCGGCATGCCTCCAGTGGGGGGGCTGGGGCGGGCAGCCTGGATGAGATAACCTGACGCCTTTTTTTTTTTTCTTAGGTTTTTTTTTTTAACAAAAGTTTTTCTAATCAACTTGAAGAGTAGTTGAAGTGGGTGAGCAGCAGGGTTCCTTGTATAATGAGACAGTTGCAGTATGGAAAGAAATGGGCCGACTGGCCCATGAGATGAAATCGGGGTGGTCCTCCGCATTGGAGAATGGGGACAGCGGCTTTCAGTGTAGCCTAGGCAGCACCGATTGCCACCGACGGTGCTTGGTGGCAGCTGATGTCGCCGGCTGAGTCCTGCACTGGGTGACTTTATACTAGTGAAAATGTTAACCAGCCATATTGGCTTAATGAATAGCTTCAGTAAGGAGTGAATTTCCTTCTAGAAATCAGTGCCTATTTTTCCTGGATGCTCCGTTTTAAATAGTCCAGTTCCATCTGAAGTCAAGCTGTTGTCATCGCTTTCATTCTGTGATCTGTCCCGTGACACCCAGTAGGTCAGAAGAACCACTTTTTTGATTTAGAGATATATACATTCTTTGTATTAAAGTTATTTTGAAGGGGTTTCCTGGTTGGATGGCTTTTTTCTTTTTCCTCCAGGGAAAAGGGGGAATGTACTCGGAAAGTCATGTATGTTTACATGATCCGCAGATTCCTGTACATAGAGATACATTTTTTCAGTGTGAACGTAACATACTGAGTTCCACCATGGTTACCAAGGAAACCATCAAAGTACACTCAGTTGTGAAACCTGTGTGTGTTGTGAGCGGAAGGGGCTGGGGCCTCAAGCAGCCCCTGGGTGTGAGGTCGGAAGCACAGGGCCAATGGGGGGCACTGCCCAGGGGCCTTGCTGCCGGCCAGACCTGACTCACCCCACGTCTCCTGGGCAGCGCCCTGTGGGCCAGCCTCCCACATCCCGTGCCTGCACTAGCTTTCTTTGGAGGAACCGGGAGTTGCAAACCAGTTTGGAACTGTCAGATGTACCTGCATAGACACAGGTTCCCAGGTTAGATAAGGGTTTGGACTTGATGTCCTTTCCATCTGGCCTGTGACTGGGCACGGGCCACTGGAGAAGCAGTGAGTGGTCTCTACCTCCCCCATGGGGGGGCTGCACGCCCAGCTGAATCCCCGTGCTAGGTGCTCCCAGGGGCGACGGCCCTCTGCCCTGGCGTCCCCACCCCCCAAGACAAGCACTGCACACCCACCACGGAGGCTTGCAAAGAGCCTTTATTTATCTAGCGCAAAGTATACACTATCACAATCCTCTGGTGCCCCTTTTACTAAAATAGTTCAAATCAATGTTTTTACCACACTATCAAAAGGTTCTATTTCTTTTTTTCCCCTCCAAATCAAAGTGGTTCAATAGAAGGTAGAAACGGGCACAGGAGCCCACAGCTCCCGGCTCTGCCTGGAGCCAGGGAGGGGCTGGCCCAGCTCAGGCGGTCGCGTCCTACAGAAAATAGAGCATGGCTGCTGGTGGGGACAGGGACAGACGTTCCAGCCCATTCCAGAAAGCAGCAGGTTTTCCCCCCACATTATGAAAAATATACACCTCTACCGCTCTGCAGTCATGCGTTCAGTTTGTTTCTTTAAAAAAAAAAAAATCAGTAGTATTTTGTTTCCTCTCAAGTTTTCAAGGAAAAAAAAATGAAAGGTCACTTTTTTCTCTTTAAACACTGATGTGTAGCTAATCGGATAAAAATGAGCCACCCTAAAAAATGTGCTCAGCAGATTTCAATTCCAGGCTAGAAAGGTGGCCTCTGTCACAGTGGGAACTGAAGCCACAGCACAGGTGTCACACTGGGCTTCGAGAGCTCAAGTCCGAGTATTTGAAAAGGAGGAAAGGGACCTTTATGAAAAGACTCCGAGTCCAGCAACACCCGCCCTCCCCCCACCATGACCTTTTGAAGCTAAGGCTCCAGAGGGAGGAGGAGGGTCACCCAGTGTCACCCTGCACACTGCCTGTTAGTGGCAGAGTTGGGACTCCCCTGAGCTGGCCCCTAAATACTCCGTGGTGAGGCCCCTCTGAGCCCCTCCAGCCTGTGGGCTCCCCCCACAACTGCACATCGTACCCCGTGTGGGGTCAGGCAGAGGCGCCGCTGGCTTTTTATTTAACAGTTTATTACATTAGCGAGATGACCGTCACAGGGACAGTTGTGTCCTAGAAAGCGCCCCCCGTGCCGCGTTGGCTCAGAGACAGGAAGGAGATCCCTCCCGCCCGTTCTGCCTCCATGGCAGGCAGTGGGGTTCCAGCAGACGTGCTGTGCCTGACCTCTGGGCGCCCCTGCAGCCTTAGGGACGGGGTCACTTCCCTCCAGTGGGGAACGTCCCTGTGAGGCTGTCCCTGGGGTCAGCTCGCAGGAGATCTGCAGATGCCAGGAGCCCCGCCTTATTGCTTATCTTCAGTCGTGGCAAAGCCGAGGACCCAAACGTGACCGGTGGGCTCCCACCCAAAGTGGACCCATCCCCCCATAGCTGCTCTGTGGTTCTTTGGACTCCAAGACCAGAGGGGGCCTCTGCCCCCAGCTCACTGCCCACTTGGGCAGGAATTGCCCAGTACCATGACCATGGATGGTCACCCCATTCCAAGTGCACACCCCCAGTGACAGGGAGCTCACCACCTGCCCTGATGGCAAGCTCCGTCCAGAAAGAGCCCATAGCTTCCTGTGACACCCAGGGCAAGGGGAACGGCCTAGCGCCGTCAGCAGCACCCACTTAGCCCTCCCTGGGCACAAGGAAGGCCGCAAGCTTTCCCTTGAGAGTGTATGACCCAAGGGTGCCAGTGGCAAATGGATGGAGGGAACCGCTCAGCGTTCCCACCTGGTCACCATCCCTCACATGGGCCTGGATGAGGCCTGCCCGATAGAGACACACGCTCGGGCTCTGCAAGTGCTGGCTGCGTGAGGCCGCACGCAGCCCTCTACGACTGGGAAAGGGATGTCGGGTGACGCACAAGGGGCTTCAGAGTAAGTGGACCCCAAGGCGGTTCCAGCGGCATGAACGGTGGCCTGTCTGCCTGCCTTCCAGGTTTTGGGATCTCACTCATAACCTGCCACAGATCACCTACCCCCTCTGGGCCTCATGTTCCTCACACAAGTTTTTAAGTTTATATACTGCACTTCACAGTTTATACAGGGTCATTTACATGGACGGTCTCATTTGATCCCCGGAGCCCTTCAAGGAAGGCCTCATGGTCCCATTCTACAGCAGAGGACACTGAGGCTCAGAGAGGGGAGCGGAGGGTTCACCCAATGAGGCATCGAATAGCAGAACTCAGCTTGGGCCTCAGCTCCCCAGCACCCACACACACACACACACACACACACAGCCTCTCCAGCAGGTGGACCATCGGCTCCCATGCTGTGAACAAGGACGGGCTGGGACAGCTGACAGCCTCTAACCATGAGCACGGCTGAGTGACTGGCTAAAGGTCACACAGCAAATTAAAGCCAGAGCCAGCGCAGGAGCCTTCGAAGGAGGGCAGAACTTGTCACTGTGGCCATGCAGCTCTGTCCACAGTGACCCAGGATGGGGCCAGGGTCTGGGGGACGCCACAGCTGACCAGAGGCCCAGCCGTGGCCCCGTGCTACCCATCCGGGGAGAGGCATGTGCGCTTGGCCCAGAGACTCTGCCCTTGGCCTGCCTCTGTTCCTGGCCCGTGTGAACCACGGAACTGGAGATGCCTCAGGCGCTGGGCAGGAGGGACCGGGAAAGATAGGGCACAGCCTGGCACCGGGCAGGGCGATACTGCAGAGGGTGAGGGCTGGGGTGGAAGCATGAACTCTAAAAACAAGTGGCAGCTGGCAGCAGGTGCGCTGGGCAGAGAGGGACCAGAGCTTCTAGCCAGCCACAGACAGGAGTCCCTTGTCTGACTCATGGGACCCAGTGCTTGGGGAGCCAGCGTTCGGGTCACAGCAGGTGGGTGGGAAGTGGTGTCCCCACAGTCAGGTCCAACTGCCGTGGCCTCTGTCCAGTGCGGGCGGCAGCCAGGAGACGGAGGGCTTGCTGAGGTGCCCCTCCACCAAGGCTGGGAATGGCCCGGCATGGCTCCTGGGTCTGGCATCTCAGCGACCTTCAGTTCTCGCCAGTGGAGCCTGAAGCCCCGGCCCTGGGGTGGGGATGGTGCTGTCCAGGCCGCTGAGCTGCAGGAAACAGCCGGCGGCTTCTGTCTCCCGGTCGCTGGTGTGTGAGAGGTGGGAGGTGGCGGTCCGGCCGGCAGTGTGTCGGACCCACAGCAGCCGGGCCACGGTGGGCAGCGTCCTATGTACAATTCATCACAGAAAAAGACAGGGGCTCGGCCACAGGACCTGCCACTGCCTCTGGGGACCCCGGGCAGGGACAGTTCATGTCCATGGAGGAAAGGCCCTACAAAGGCCCCTTGAACTGGTTCCCGGACAGGTGCTGCCGAATGGAGGGCTTGGAGCTGGCGGCATCCCCCAGTTTTCTCCAGACCACCTGCGAGCAGAGGAGAGACGTTAGTGGCGGGCCCACCGAGCCCACCCACTGGCCTCCGCACACACTTCGCCTCACTGCTCTTCAAAATCACCTATGTCCCCAGAGCCACAGGCCAGGTGGGGAAACTGAGGCCACCTGAGGCCCAGAGACATTCAGACCAGGCCTTTGCACATCCACCCTCATGGCCACACCTGCCATCCTGAGCAAGTCACCCCTGGGATGCAGGCTCGGCCTTGCAGCTGTCCAGTGGAGCCCATGGAGGCAGGAGGCATCGTAGGAGGGGGTTCAGAAGACCCGCCCCCAGAAGGCCCTGGCTCAGCCCCTGTGAACCCCCTGCCACTGGCCCTGCCAGGGTCCAGAGACGGCACATGTCAGTGAGGTGGGTCAGGGGGTGCCTTCCAGGCAGCCCAGCAACGCGGTCTATCAGAGTGGAGGGTCCTGCCTGCACCTTCAGTCTGAGCACTGCACCCAGCAGGGGTACCAGCCTGCTGGGAGGCCAGGAGCCAGACACCTGGGACCGGGCCCGAGGGTGGGGACACATGGAGTGAACAAGACCAGTCCTGAGGGGTGGGAGGTGCTCTCCCGGGACGGACAGATGTGCTGAGATCAGGGACCCCATTCTCTGGCAGTGGGGTGAGGTCGGGCCGGGGCTCCCATGTCCAGTGCCTCCTCCCAGCTCTCCAGGTCACCAGCCTTCCCCCCCGGGAGGTTGTGCCCACGTTCCCAGGGTCACGCCAGGGTGCCCTCCGTCCCCCGAGGCCCCGCCCCCCTTCCGGGAAGCGCCTCACGTTGCACATCTCGCGGACGATGGCCTTCTCCTTCTCGCTCAGGTCCTCCTCACAGCTGTCCTGGAGCTGCCGGTCCAGGTTCTCGTGGACCTCCAGGACCTGCAGGGCACAGGTCAGGGGCAGGGGCAGAGGCCACCAGGCGGACCTCACCCTGCTGCAAACAGGAGCCGAGGACCCTGAGCCGCTGGGTCCCGGGGTCAGGTATGTGGAGGAAGGGCATGTCGTCCTTCCTCACTTTCTGTCCTCTCCTGTCACCCCAGGGACACTGTAGATGCCACACAAGGGAAGCAGCACTGGGGGCAGAGCTGAGGATGGGTCACCTGGGAGCAGGGGCGACCCTCGGACAGGTGGACTCACTCCAACCCAGGGCCCCCAGCTTGCGTGCTTACTGGGCAGGACTGAGGACCCTTCCCCGTGGTGTGCACACAGGTACAGGGATGAGGGGCGCGCGGTGGGAGACGTGCCCCAGGAGAGACAACCGCCTCGTGGGGACCGGCACTGGAGGCCCTGAGTAGGGAGGCGGCTGCAGCTGGAGGACAGGCTGGGCCTGGGAGGCCTGCGCTTTAGTCCTCGCCTGAGTCCTGCCTGGGACTCACCTGGAGGGAGTGCCTGCCCTCCCCTAACCCCCCCTGGCCTCAGTTTCCCCAGTTGCAGGGATGGCAGACAGACAACACACTGGCTACCGCCATGCGGCACCTCTGAGTCCCTCCCCCACAGCGCTCCAGGCAGACACAGCCATCCAGTCCCCCACACAGATATGAAAGCCCCAGCCTGCTGCTCAGATGCCCCCAGAGAGGGCAAACGTGGGATCCACGGTAGGTCCCACGTCCCGCAGGGCCCCAGGGAGCGGGCTCCTGAGGGCGGGGGAGCTGGGTGCAGGTGGGCAGGGCCTGGCCCTCACCTTCATCGCGTGCACGACAGCCTCGGGCTTCTGTCCTGCAGGGCTGTAGCCGGCGGAGGGGGGCGAGGACAGCTCAGGTACCGGGCAGGCTGGGCCCTGTGGGAAGGAATTGCACGGCTTAGCTCACCCTGAATGGCTCTCAGGTGGCGGCCACAGGTGTGACCAGCACTGAGCAAGGGCCCTGATTCTATGGGGCCAGGGCCCAGGCAGGGGAAATGGGGGTGGGGGAGGGGGGGAGGAGTCGGGTATGAGGGCCAGGCCAGGGCCGAGCGGCAGCGCCTGGAGCCATGTGCCCGGCAGGCTCCTCCGTATGAACACGCGGAAGAACACGGATGGACCCACCACGCAAGGCAGCACATGCCGTTCAGAGAGGGCGGAGGCACACAGAGACCCCCTGCCAACGCCGGGCGGCCGGACTCCCAAGCCTCTCACACGCTCCATGCCACCCAATGGGTGATTCAGCTCCACTCCACCCCCAGGACGAGGAGTCTCTTCCAGGCCTGAACCCTGCCTCGCGGCCCTGGGCAGGCACCTGGCCACGGGATTCAGCAAACACTCTAACTCAGCGGTTCTCCACCTGCGGGTCACAACCCCTTTGGGGGTCGAACGACCCTTTCACAGGGGTCGCCGGGTACTCGTATGTGGGCGTATCTGCATGTGGGCCTGGAGATGGATATTGGAGCGGTGTCTCGGTTCCTAAGACCATCGAAAATATGTGTTTTCCGATGGTCTTAGGCGACCCCTGTGAAAGGTTGAGAACCACTGGTCTAACTGGCAGT